AAATCACCCCCCAGGGTGGATGGCCACGCCGCAATCCCTTCTCCTCCATTCTCCTCTCGGGATCTTGGGCACGCACGCACACGCGCCCGGAATGAGTTTAAGCCACCGGGTCTGGCACTTAAAACGCAGTCAACTACATGGGAGTCCAGCAACATAGCCATTATGCCAACTACTGGTCCCCAGTGACAGATATTATTAATAGGTAAGAATCAGAAAGACCAAAAGAAAATTGCCACTATCTTACATTACCAATTTCCTGTCAGTCTTCTTTTCTCTAGTTTCAATGATCCCATCTCCTTTAGCTCTCCCATTAATAGTAACATGTTGGACGGACAAAATGTTTACACTTATAATCTCAAATGAGATTTGTAACTGACACTCATAAGGAATCAATTATTAATATTCAAAAAATTATTTTATTTAACTTTATTTATTTTGTTTATTTATTTATTTAAATTTGATCAGAGTGAGACAGAGTGAGAGAGAGAGAGAAAGGGAAAGTGAAAAAGCAAGCCTCCAGGTCCAGGACTTGAACTGCAGTCGGCCATGTGGCAGTCCAGTGACCATAAACACTACACTATCTGTTGGCCCTAATATTCATTTTAATAACTTTCCTTCCACATTCAGATTGCTAAAGTGTTTATTGTTTAAAAAACAGGAGAAGCCTTTATTGTATTGCTACTTCTTTCCAATTTGTGGTCATTATACTCCCTCTACGGATCTTTGTCTGCCAAACTTCAGGACATTACAGTCAGTCTTCAAAGTATAAAAAAAAAAGAAAGTAATATTAATTTTATTGTAGAAAACAAGCATCCATTTTAATGTTAAAATGTTTTAATAGCTATTTGTCATTCCATAAAGCTAGACATACTAAATAAATTATGTTTTAAATTGTTATGATCATCTTTAAAAATATCTTGAAATAGTGATGTCACAAGGTATTAAATATCAGATATAGAAATTACGAGATAAAATGTAAAATTAACAAAGACAAACAATTTTTAAAAATGTTCTTCCCATTAGAAATAAAGTCTTTAGGACATTAATTTTCATCTACCACCATCATTGTTATATAGTCTTTGTAATGAATTGAATTTGATTCTGGATCAATTGCTGCAGACAACATTTCTTCCATTTCCTCCTGAGAAAAAGGCTCACCTGGGAGGGACAAGAAGAAAAATTCACCATTTACATTCATCTGACATGTTTTCTTTCTCTTACACCAGCCTGCTTAATTGCCATGGGGCCCCCAAAGCCTCTGCTGTATCTGTTCATTCTCCCTGGAACTGTAAAGCCAGCACACCAGGACAGCTCCCTTGTATCCCCAGACAGATTTTGGAATAATTTTAACCTGCATATAAAGATCAAGCAGTCTATAGAATCTATGATTTCAGGCAAAACATCAGGAGGAGATGAAGACATTATGAAAAAGTTTATTAAAAATAAAATTAAAATTGAAATGGCCATAGGATTCACCTGAAGCCCCAGTTTTGACCATTATATTTGGTAAGAGTATGAAGAGGTAATTTCTTTAGAGAGATTTTTGTTACAGGGCTAGTATGCTCACTGGAGAGTCAGAGAGATAGAATGTGAGAAGTCACCCCCCAGGGGGGATGGCTATGGTGCAATCCCTTCTCCTCTACTCTCTTCTTGGGATTTTGGGCACGCACACACATGTGCCCGCCGTGCGTTTCAAGCTGCTGGGTCCGGGACTTGAATTGTGGTCGACTATGTGGAAGTCCAGCGACATAACCATTAAGTCATTTGCTGGTCCCTGAAGAGATGATTTAATGGTTGCTATGCAAAATTGCCAAAGAGGAGATAATAGAGGCTCAAAACTGTAATGGTTAGGGGCTGGCAGGTGGCATGGTAGTTAAGGGCATTAGACTCCCACATGGACAACCACAGTTTGAGTCCTGGACCTGGCAACTTGCTTTCTCACTTTCCCTCTCTCTCTCACACACACTCTGTCCCTCTCTGGTTAAATTAAAATAAATAAATAAATAAAGTGAAATAAAATAATTCTAAAAGAAAAAAAAAGAAAGAAACAAACTGTAATGGTTACATCTCTGAATATTTCCTAACTAGATCTGGCCAATCAGATCTTGAAGACTGGTTTCACCAACATGAGAAGCAATCTTAGGAAGATTGTTGGAGAGGCTGTAATTATATTTTTTCTTTTCTTCTTTTTATGTTTTGGCCATAGGGTACATGCACTCACCAGAAAGAAGAAGAGAGAGGGAAAGGAAAAAAATCACCCCCCTGGGGGGTATGGCCTTGCTCCAATCCCTTCTCCTCCATTCTCTTGGGATTTTGGCCATGAATATACACAGAGATGCCTGGCATGACTTTCGAGCAGCCAGGTCTGGAACTAGAACCACTGTCTGCTATGTGAGAGTCAAGCACCTTAATCACCATACCACCTCCCGGCCCTAGGCTGTAAACTATTTAAGAAAGAACTTTGTCTTGCCGTTGAACAAAAGTAGAGAAACATACAAATCACCATCCTGTCACTAACAGTCTTATCCAAACAGCTGAGTTACCAAGGTCTAAGGTTTACATACCTTATGAGGTAAGTCACCTGCTGTTATAAACAGTGCTTTCTCAATTGGAGTTCCATTACTAATACAGAAATGATCTAATAGCAATTTTGGTGACACTGAAGATAGTACTATCAAACAAAGAGAAAGTGGCCCCACCATGGTGGTGCAAAAGAGAGGGCACTATTGCGTGGTGGCTGAGGCTGCATGGGAGGCCCAGGATTGGTTGCCAGACCAGCCTAAAACAAGTCAGTCGAGATGGTGTGCACATGTGGTTCTAGCTAACTAGGAGGCTGGGAAAGGAAGATCATATGGTGAGATCCTGTCAAAAACA